GAGAGAGAGAGAGAGAGAGAGAGAGAGAGAGAGAGAAGAAACCTTAAGCATATATTGGAGCTTTCTGGAGCATAGAGAGAGGATTCAGGTTCACTCTGGCCTCCACCGAAGCAGAGAAGCATTGAAGCCTGTATGTCATCACGACAATGGTGCCTGCACTGTGACCACGATGGGGCTGTTCACAGAATGCCTTCCATCACTCCATGTCAATGCCCCACTCCTCACTTTCGAGCTCCCCGGCGCTAGCTTCTCCGCCGTGCCCGCCTTCACCCGCACTAAAAAGCTTAGCTTCTGCCCCGCCCTCCGGAACGCCAACTCCGTCGGCTCCACCGTCACCGTGCTCCCCTCCGGTGCTCGCACCTCCGCCCTGTACACCGCTGCCCCGTTGCCTACGTTCGTCACCGTCCGGATGAAGTGGGTCGACATCCTCCGCTTCGCCCCGTCCTCGACGAACACCGCCGAAAACGATGGGTAGTTCAAGTTGCCGGCGTGCCCGGCCTTCCTCGCCCCTCGGCAATCCGCCGGTCGCCGCGTGATCGCCTTGATGTTTTGCTGCGTGTAGTTCAGGTTGCATAGGAAGTTGACGTAGTCCGTCGCCGTGAGGTCGTAAACGAGCCCCGGGTCGATCGCTCGCTGCGGGTGGACGTGGCCGGAACCGTAGTCGAACACGTCGGAGGAGTTGCCCGTGGACTCGTCCAACATCGTAGTTCCCCTGTTGTCCTTGACGTAGGAGGTGGTCATCAGCGCCGACTTGATGGCCGCCGGAGACCAGTCCGGGTGCGCGGCCTTGAGGAGCGCAGCGAGGCCGGAGACGTGGGGGCATGCCATCGACGTGCCTGAGAGGATGTTGAACTCTGTCTTCCGTTGGTCGGATGGGATCCCGGCGGGCCCGACGTTGTCGGGCCATGCCGCGAGGATGTTGAGCCCGGGGGCGATGACGTCCGGCTTCAGGATCTCCGGCGACTGGGGGCTGGGCCCGCGGGCGGAGAAAGACGCAACCACCGGCGCGGGGCGGACACCAAGGCGAGTGCCGCGGAAGAGGATGGTGGCGGTGGCCGGGGACTTGAGGGTGGCTGCGGCGATGTACTTGCGGATCTCGTCTCCCGCGATGGCGCCGACGGCGGCGGCGGGGAGGACGTGGCAGTCAGCGACCAGGCCCTCGCCGTCGAACATGCCATTGGCTAGGATCATTCCTACGGCGCCGGCCTTGCGGACAACCTCGCCTTTCGCAGCGCGGGAGTTGACGCCGCGGTCGCAGAGGACGATCCTGCCTTTCACGGTGTCCGGGTTGAGGGATCCCTCGAGGCACAGGGACGACGAGTAGCCGTCGCCTGCGCCCTGGGCGGCGCCGGGGTAGACGAGTGGGTATAGGCGGCCGGCACTGAGGGCTGGACCGCCGTAGACGCTGACTCCCGGAAAGACACGGCCGTCGCCGAGTTTGACGTAGGCGGGGAAGTCGCGGTCCATGGACCCGGCGCCGACAGTGGCGACCCACGGAGCGACGTTGGTGACTGTGAGCTCCCCAGGACCGCCGTTACCGGCGGATGCGGAGACGAAGATGCCAGCCTCAGCGGCTGCGAAAGCCCCGACGGCGATAGCGTCGAGGTAGTAGGGCACGACGACGCCCCCGACGCTGAGGGACACGACATTGACGCCATCGGCGACGGCGGCATCGAAGGCGGCGAGGATGTCGGAGTCGAAGCAACCAGCGGCCCAGCAGACCTTGTATGCGGCGAGGCGGGCCTTGGGAGCCATGCCAGCCGCGACGCCGCGGGCGTAACCGAGGGTGGAAGCAGGGAACACGTAGCGCCCCGCGGCGATGGAAGCGGTGTGGGTGCCGTGTCCGTCGGTGTCCCTCGGGGATCGGAGCTCGGAGGACTCGTTCATGCGGCCGGAGGTGGCCTCATATCCGCCGGAGAAATACCGAGCGCCGACGAGCTTGCGATTGCAGGCAGACGCCGGGAATCCCGGCCCGGATACGCACTCGCCTCGCCAACGCGCAGGGGCGGGACCAAGGCCGCGATCGGAGAAGCTGCGGTGGCCGGGGGTGATGCCGGTGTCGACGACAGCGATGACGAGCTCGGAGCCGAAGTCGGACTCCGCCAATAGCCCAGTGCGGTCGGAGGAGAGGAGGCCGAGGAACTCCGGGGACCGGGTGGTGTCCGGGTGGCGAACGAGCTCGGGGAGGACGGCGAGGACGCCAGGGGAGGAGGCGAGTGCGGCGGCGGCGGAGGGGGAGAGGCGGGCGGAGAAGCCGTAGAAGAGGGAGGAGTAGGTGTGGATGAGCGGGCCACCGGGGGCCGAGGAGGCGCTGCTCTCAGTGGATAAGGCGGAGGCGAGGACGACGGTCTCATACCAGTGGGATTGGGTGGGGAAGACGGAGGGCCTGGCGTCGGCGTCCACCCGCACGATGTACGTCTGAAGCTGTTCGACGGCGACGATCGAGGGAAGAAGAAAGAGAAGGAAGAAGGATAACGGCGGGTGCGCAAACTGGAGGCAGAGTTTGCTCCCCATCATTTGATATCGAGAGGAAGAAGAGGTAGCAGGAAAAGAGGAAGAGATGGACAGTAAAGGGGGAGAGAGTGGGAGGGACAGTGAGGTAAGTGAAGGGACAGAGGTATGTAATATAGTACTGTAAGTGAGAGTGGAGAGTTTTTATTTTTTATTTTTCACCACTTATGTGGCTAAAAATATTAATGTTTATTATTTAGGATAATTTTTAATAAAAATATTTTTTGATGATATTTTTTTATTTGGTATTTTTTATTTCATTCAGAAAAAAATATAAATAGAAAGATTTTTCAAAAAAATCATTTTATTATTTATTAAACATTTTACCTATCTATAATAAATGGCATTAATTAACTTATGGTTGATATTAAATAAAATTTATTTTATTTTCTAGTTTTAGTTTGACCTCTGGTCCAACCCTTCCCATTATTAAAGATAAGGAAATCTTAAGAATCATGATTGTTTCTTATAAATATATAAAAAATTATCTTAAAATAAAAATACTTTAATATTTATGTGAGACTGTGTAAAAAAAAAAGATTGTAGGCTAGAGTTCAAAATAACTCAAAAGAAAATTTAATTCATTATATGTAATTATTTTATATATTTAAGAATTTAGTTTTTGGATGTGAACATAGGCAAAAATATATTGAACTATTAAATTTTACATCGACTATTTTAAATTTATTTTATTTTTAAAATTTTAAAATTTTATTTCTACTATCAAAGTCACTTTAACGCATTACTATCTTATTGGAATATATCATTATCAGACTAAATATTTATCTTACATAAGGATTACAGAACGAATCTTCACTAATGGAAAGTTTCATAGCTTCATCAGAAATGGAGTCAAAAGCCTTTATGGCCATAGTTCACAGTGTTATTTTACCGAGATAAATCAGAGAATTCTTGTTCTTTGCTGTTTCTTCCACTGCTTCTTAACACCTTTAACAGCTCGTTCTCATGATTAAGCACCCCGAGATCAAGACAAAGCTGCCAATTGTGGTCAGAGAATTAGAGAACAGAGGAGTTCCAAGTAGGCAAGTGGTATCATTCTCTTGTAGCATGCTCGGCAGTATTCAGATCCTGTCATCCGTACCTGCTTTGCAGCCTCCCCACCTTGCTCAAGTGCCCAACCATGGAGACTCTTATGACTCCCTCACAAAGGCAGAGAAGCCCAGGGTGAGTTTTCCTAAGGGAAGAGAACAAGGAAAAGCTAAAGATAAAGGACAAAGTAGGGCCGCAGCGACACAGAGAAGCATGTTGCTTCGGAAGAGACGAGTACAGCTCACATGCACTTACTAGACCTGCGTTGAATGGTAGGGATGGGCATTAGAGAGATGATAAAGGTCTCTTAACACCATTTACATTTCTTCATGTCATCCTCCTATCAGATGCTGTTTATCTATCATACATCACTCTCCCGTTGTCATACTATACCCCTACTGCATATGCGACGGTTCCATTTCGCTTTTCGCTACAAGATCTACTCTATCACATATGTTTTCTTGATCTTATCCTCTCTTTCTCTTTTCGGATGGGAAGTTGAGAGGGGTGTAGCTTTGTGCGTCAGTGTTCAGTAACGACAGGGACTTCAAATGGATCCTTCTATTGATCCTTCCTCAGTTATAATGGTCCAGGTCTGTTCGCTGCCACCATGACTTCGACCCATGCGTCGTCAACCTTTCGGTGGAGTGTAGTGTCTTTCACTCTACACAATGAACTGGATGTGCCTGTCTGGTTTACAGTGCCAGACACCTCAGTTTATTCTCCCACTCTGGATGGAGCTTGTTCTTCTGTCTTTGGACATCAAAATAGAGACACATGCTCGACTGCCACCAGAGATGGGTGGCAACCTTTTAGGCACACTCACATGGAGCAGCTGCTTCTTCAGAAACATGGACACATCTTCGTCGTCTTAAAGTTGGAAGCACGTATCTACAACAGTCGATTCAATCATCATCCTGTGATTCTACAAGCTGAAATAAGAAACCAAAAATCTCTCGAACTCATCGTGTTAGCTATATTTTTTGAAGGCAAGATCAGTCCAAAGTTTTAGAGAGAGAGCGAGAGAGAGAGATTAACTTGAAGCAATATAGACGATTCTTGTGTTATTAGAGCGCCAAAAGAAGATGACCAGTACGTTACAAGATCCCCAGAGAAGCTATCAGATCTGTTGTTAGATGAACCTCCTAAGAGTTCCTGCGGCTGCTTGGTAGCTTCTCATGACCAAGCCTACACCAACACCAATCCCCAAACACATAGCGAGCCCCAGTCCCATTCCTACCCTTACTCCTGCGCTGAACCATGACAGCTCTCCCAGTTCATCCTCCCCACCATTCTTAATGTAACCACTACTTACCCCATCACAGCTTTGTTCTTCCCTGATCCCTTTCTTCGGTTCCTTCATAAAAGACCAAAATAAAGTCCTCAGATAAACGAATTCTGAGTTGAATACGTGTGACCATACTCTGATATTAATGAATACTGACAAATGCAAACAGAAGCCAAGTATCGTCAAACGAGATGACAATAATATGCTTGATGAAGTAAGATTAATTTTGGGTAGGAAATAGGGCCATTTTCCTCATGAAAAACATGAGGAAACTCACCTCAGAATCATCTGTGGCCACTTCATCATCACATGCAGGGATGCAGTCCAACCCTTTCCGTGTCTTCCTCGTCTCCACCACCCTATTCAGCACGACTGCCCTCCCCATGCTCCGCCCCACAAAGTAAACATCCACCACAGCCCCATCCACCCCCGTCTCCTGGCCGCCGCTGCCCTCTCTGCCCTGCACAACCCACCTCCCATCTCCCTTCCTTCCGACCGCCCCCACCACCAAAGCGCTGCACGCCTCCCGCACCCTGATCTCAAACCCGAGGCAGCTGCCGGAGAACCTGATGCAGTCGGTGTTCACGTAGACCGACTCGCCCATCGCTCCGTCGACCCTGTTCCTCTTCAGAACCACTGGCACGGCCGCCTTGCCGTTCACTGTCAGCGAGCGATCGTCCTCCTCTCCGGCAGGGAACGCCATCGTTATGGTGCTCTGCATGGGGGTGGAGGTGATGATCCTCACGTAGACTACCTTGATCTGGATGGCATTGTTGAGGGTGTGCCGATGGGTAAAGGCTTTAGAACTGAGATCGAAAGGGTGTAGGATCAAAGTCTCCGCTTTCACGGCCATAGCTCGTGGAAGAGTGTGATTTAGTAGGAGGAAGAGGAAGATGAGACTTGTTATCTTACACGTAAATCGAGAGCCTCTGAGTGGGAATCCAACCATGGCGGTCCTGGTTTCCAACAGAGAGCGTTTGTTCCGCTCGGGTGGCTGCCTCGCTTCCGTCAACGCGTGGAAGTATCGGAGACGCGTGCCTTTAGGTGGCCTGTCGTGGCACGTGGGATTAGGAACACGGACAGCACCCCACGCGCGAAGCCACCCCGGCCATCGGCTCGCACCGTCAAACATTCACGTGCCGACCACGTGGGCCCGACGACGTACGCGCATGCCAGGCGCGTGGCGCGCGGGGCCCCCTCTGTACTGTGCGGTGAGCCCAACAAAATTTATGTCGCCGTGAGATCAGCGATGGAATTGTGTCAGAAAGTAGAAAGCTTAGCTTTCTTGGGGCCTCTAAAATATAGCTCGAAATCATTGTTATTAGTCTAATCACCAATTTTTATTTTCTGCTTATTGCTAAATTAAATCATAATTTTACTAAGCTCGGATTGATCTTAATTTCCAAACTAAACCAACAAAAATTACAGTATCCAAAAGAATCTCACTGTTTATATGTATATATTTAAAAAGTCATGTATGTAAGATAAAAAATAAATATTAAGAATTGAAGGAGTAGAAATATTATATGTTTGATGAGTTGCCAACAACTAAATTTAGTAGATTTCAGCTTTTAAATTATATTTTCATTTAAGCTTTAATTTTTTTTATTATTTTTTTATGGAAGTATTTAAGTAAAAGAAGTTCTGAAAGAAAGATGATATATGATGACTGCAAATAAAAAAGGAAAAAGAAAAGAAAATGAATGGATACTTTGACGTCGACTATTCATTCCTATGTCAACAGAACAACACTGTGGACTTCTCCTTCCTCCAAAAAAGGATGCCTCTCCTCCTCTAAAAGAACAAGGGGAAGAAAAGAAGAGGATCCATAGCATCTTCTCTAGACCTTCCATACGGTCATCCGAGTGCTTAGGCCACTCCGGGTATCCTACTGTTTCGATCTTGGTCACGAATCCTAGCGCTGGCTCGAAGACGATGTTGAGGCTCCCGCAGTCGCGTCCTCGCTGCCATCTCAAACTCTCGTCGTTCCTCTTGCAGAATCTGGCGAGAACGGCATTCTTTGCTGCAGAATCCCAGGTCTCCCCTGCATCATCATCATCATCATCATCATCTCGTGTCCATCAGGCAATGGCACAAACAAACATCAAAGCACCGAGTGTTCCGTGATGTGTATGTATGTAGTCTTGTAAGCGATGTTACAAGCTTTGTAATTTTAAGAAGACGACGAAGAATAGAAAGAGGTAATGGATTCTAAATCATTATATGTGAAAACAAAACTCTCCTTAGCTTCAAATCAAAAAAATCATTTTTCTTTCAGCAGCAAACTTCACGTCATGAATTATTAGAACATGGAAGAGTGAAACGTCCTCCTCGATTACCTGCAAAGTTAAAAAAGGGTCCAAGGAGATGAGGGAGAGTACCTGTACATGTAAACATCCTTGGAGAGGCTGAGCTCCCTTTTGCACAGGAAGCATGACTTTAGGAACCCTAAACCCTTGGAAAGACTGCAAGTCGATTTTGTCACAACGTTTGATCCTTGCTCCTTGTGTTGTATGAGGATTCGAAGGCCTTCGATGCCCTCCGATGCCGGTCTCATGTGCTTTGGTTCTCTGATGCTCACTATAGTCTTGGTGGTCTCATCCTCCCCTAGATGGAAGATACCGCCCTTGTTTCTTGACAGCATCTCGAGAGGAAGAAGAAGAAGAAGAAGAAGAAGGAGAGAGAGAGAGAGAGAGAGAGATGATGCTGATGATGACGAGGAGGGGTTTGAAGGCTTGGTAGGGACTGGAAGAGCATGGGGTGCATGATGTATATATATAAAAGCACTTGATGTGTCTGCAAAAGAATTCATCACCCCTTTCACATGCTAGAATCGGATCTTTATACGATCCTTTGAGGTGGAGCTTTGTTTCTTTTGCTTTTCCCTAAAATATTGGGTATGAATTAGCATATGTTTTGATGCAGGAATAAATTAATGATGCAAAAGGGTAACCAACATGTGCCTCATGGGCCCATTGACACGCACTAATTAGGTGGGATGTTCTAATAATAGTGACTTGGTTTCTTTCAACCAACGGAATCCCCTCTTCTTCTAAGCTTATGAATGCAGAAAGCATAGGTTTGTATGCATAATTAGAAGAACTTAATTCGATATTAACACCTTTAGGGATGTGATCAAGGATACGACACGCATCATCGGATCGGAGTGCCCCGCGGGATACATGCACACCCTAGGCATCAAGCAATAAGTTTCTCATTTGACCCATCTCGATCTACAAGATAAAATAAAATTGTGTGAATCCATGGGTACAAAAAAATCTAGAAAATTTTATTAAAAAAATCTCAAGAGTTGCACCACCCATCAACCATGGTCTTCTATATATTTTTTATTTTTTTAAATAATTATAAGAAAAGCATGTGTTCACAAAAGTCAATGTGCTTGTCGATCTTCCTGATGTGCTCTTAGTGTATCTAATGCTAAGCGCTAAATGCTTCCCTCGAAAAAAGAAAGAACAAATGAACAATAATTGATGCTTTACTATACTATACGAAAGACTGTTATTTTTATTAAAAAAGAAGACAATGTCTAAAGGACCAAAGATAACATAGATTGCATAGCCTACGGGGATATCAATGATGATGAGGATACTCCTTTCCAGTATAAATAATATTGGAGTCCATAATAATATGATTTTTTTTAAAAAAAATTATCATGTAGATCAAATTTATGAAGGTCTTAAAACTCCAATAAATGAAAGATAAATTCACTCTAGAGAATTAAAAAAAATTATGATCAAATTACTTACTTGAATGAAAAAATAATTATGAAAAAAATTATAAATAAAGATTTGATTATTATATAAATACTTTCTATATCTATATAGTAAAAAAATATATATATACTCACAGAAAGGTCCTTTTTATTAAATCTAGAAAGATGGAAAGAAAATATTCTCAATGTTTAAATGGGGGAGTATTAAAAAAAATTCGGAACTCAGATAATTCAAGAGAATATATTGTTCCTTGTATTGGATTATTATCTTCTTTCGTAGAGGGATTGAAGTTTTCTTCCTCTTAACAAATGTTAACATTTATTTATTATATCCACTTTAATATTTGGGAATGTAATGTCTCCTGTGCCACTATTTTATCTTCATTCCCTGAGTTGATCCGACTCCCGACAGCATATGCCCAAAACAACAACTCGCCATATACGAACATGAAGCAGAAAAAGGTTAGTATTAGGCCATGCGGCCTAAACTCTCTTCTGCTTTGTGCGCTTCCCTTTGCATCTTTAATGGAACAAATCCCCCCTTTACTGCTGCTCTCGGTTCTCAAAGACTCCTCTTAACACCAACCAACCCATCGTCCCCAAGCGTGGAACACGTTGTCTGGGATGTGGGCAGCAACTCCAGCTTTCTGACGTTGTCGATATGTATATGTTATTGTGGTCACACATTAGTATGACTTGAGATTCATCATTGTCAGCAGTAAAACAAATCAGCCGCAAGTCAGCAGGAGATCTCTTTCACGTATCCTGTCGATCCATGTGTTGTTGTTCCTGCGTCAAGTTGTGATCTCTTCATTGATCATCATATGACCCACCCATCGTAGAGGAGACTTTGTGGAAGAAAAAAGATATTGGTTGTGATCGGGCAAGATCATCTGTCCAAAAAATGACAATATAAATGTGACATTAGTCCAACCATGGTTGGTCCACCAGAAGTAAAACAAAAAAGAAATAAGAGTACAAAAGAAACAAAAAAGAAGCTTGAGGGTATCTTATTTCATGACCATGGAGTCGTCAAGTTGACATCAACAAGCAGGACTTGATGCATGATTTCCGTGAATCCACATCAGTGTCCCTCGAGTTGCTGTCAAATGAATGGATAATTGTGGTTGGTAGTCAGAGATCAGCTCATCATGTGATCTCAAAGGATATTTTCGACGATTGTAAATGAACTGATGTGGTGTTATATGAACTGATTAATTTCCATCCCATATTGTAGGTTAGAGATCTCTTGCGATTAAGTTGTTTTTGGTGCTAATGCATGTCTCTTCGGATAGTTCAAAGATCATATGGAGTTATCCACAAAGAGTGAGGCTAGTCATGGAGATACGACTGATGTCTTGCAGATTTTTCTCTAGAATTAGATATATAAAATTAAGTCAGTCAAACAATCTCCTGATTGATTGAGATGATGATCCTTTCTACCAACTACTTCAAATTTTCCACTAGTGCATGAATATATATTATATAATATAATATATTAGATGATGTAGATGTGGTTTTTTTTTTTTTGTATTTAAGAAGAGTATATATTAAACACTAACACTCATAATATTTGTAATATTGTAATCATCTGATAAAAAAAAGATAGAGAGAGACTCAAAATTCAAGCAAAGTATATGAATGAATTCACCCCTATCTGCTCAACAATTTTTTTCTTTTGTTGTTGGCAATAAACAAGATGTTTAGCAATTCATAAAACATTCTCTTGCGTTTGTATTCCACAGATTATTCGATCTTTCATTATTACATATATCATCAAAACAACAGTAGGGCATTTAGCACTAAGGGAGAATCCATCTTTTAATGGTCGATTAAACTTTTCTTAGAACACTCATTTGAAAATATGGCTCTACTAAGTTGTTCAGTCACAGTAAAATTCGTTGAGAAGTAATTAAATGGATCCTTAGATATCTACCATACTCTATTTTAGAATTGGAGAACTAACATTAAAATGTTTTAGTGGTGCAGACTTGGCTAGAAACATTGACAACAAAAAGAGCACTACAATTAAGATTGCCACTGAAGCTAATAAAGAGAGATAATTTGGCTTTAATATTTCTCAAAAGTACTTTTAAGAAAGAGTAGGAAAGTGTGGTATATTCAAAAAGTTAAAGAGTGCAATTCAATTAGTAAAAAATCCATCTTTCCATATTAGAACAATGCATATCAAAATGAAGTATATGCTAACTAAGATGGTGATATCAATAAATTAAAGTTGTGTTCAACTCCACGAGTAAGGGAAATGCTGAGTTGCTGCATTGATATAGTGCAAAAACATGATTGAAATCAATTTTCAAGTGATAGATTGTTAAAGTCATCTTTGGCTTGATAAAAATGTTTTTGATTTGGTAAAAGAGGTTGAAACCACTTATATGATTTATGGCTACAAATTAGGGGTTATTAAGGTCGTTTAATGTTGTTTAGATTAGATTAATGGGTTATATGTGATGTCTCTTTTCTTAGTGTGCAGACACAATACATAGAGAGCTCTTTTGACAAATGTGTGTGAAGTTGTGATAGTGGTTGCTGAGAGGTGAGAGGTTGTGACAAGTGTTTTGTTTATACATTGATAATTGTTCTCCTGAAGTTAAACAGTGAGCACATAAATCTTTATGTTTATTTTTTTTTGAATCTGATACCAACAGACTTGTTCTTTCTCTTAATAAATAATCAAGAGGAAAAATATGTTTTTTGTGAAATAAAAAGGACCTTAATCAACATGTATATCTGCATTAAATCCAAATAATTAGACAGCAGTCATGCAGGTCCAACTGAGACATGGTATGCAGGTGTACCAGTCAGCACCGAGAAGTAGGAAGTAGGAGCTGGAGAAGGTAAAGAAGAGGAGGAGAAGGAAAAGAGGACAGACGAGGAAGAGGAAGAGCATGCAACGGAGGAGGAGGATAATTACTTTTGCGGAGAGTGACGGCGGCAAGCAGTGAGAGTAGGAGGAAAAGGTGGCTAGTAGCGGGTAGTGCGATCGAGAGAGAGAGAGAGAGAGGTCTGTGTGCTGGTTCAAGTCCAGACGGGTAAATACTATCCGTACATACTGATCCGAACAAGTGAAACACAAGCATTCTCATTCTTTTGGAGATTCAAAGACCGCAAATGTCATGGTATTTCGTGGTTTTGCTGATGGCATATTTCACAGTGCTTGGTGTTTCCATACACAGATGACCATTGATTATTGTTTCAGCTTTACTAGAAGGAAGCACGAGTAACATATGATGATGTTCATGTCAACAACGCATGATTGCAATAATCAAGAGGAAAAAGCCGCTGTTGTTGACTATGCTTTCCACAATGCAGTTCTCCGTTTGAATGAAAAAGATACAACTTGGCTGCTTCTCTATTGCACTGCATCACTCTGGTCTTCTCCCAGTATCAACAAATTGCTGCGCTTCTCTTTCATCAACTACTTTAAGAAAGCACATTCTGCGACTTCTTCTTTGTGGCTGATAAAAATGAGTGTTTTTGTTTCTGGGGGGATTCACGAGACCTCGTATTAAACGAATCCTCACGGTTCTCGGTGCCTATAACAGTAAGGACAAATGGTTCATCGTCATGGATCATCGATGAAGACTGGGCTGACCACTCGTCATTGTCGATTTGGATCACGTAAAACACTCCCGTGGCATCCTTGGAGGAGTTCGATAAACCTCAAAAGTGTTTGCAACCCAGCCTGCTGTTTTATGCAGCAGCACGAGAAGTAGCAACACACATCCATTGTTTTCGTCTGTGGTTCCAGAATGATGTATGCAACATGAAGCTGATGAAATCTAGTAGGATCTAAGCAGTCAACATGAGAAGGACACACCGATATTGTACTCGTATGAACCTCCCAACAACTTTCTGCAGTTTTATTCTCCAAATTTGTTGATTTCCTCGCTACAATTTGGTTTGTTTCTTTACAATAACAACATATCTCAATTATTTAGGATTAATTAGATAAATCTTTTGTTGATATTGAGTTTCACAA